CTCCAGAATCCCATAGGAGTAGGCTTTAATGCTGTGAAGGAATGTCTCTGCAGCAAGATAGATGAACTCACCAGCAAGATGGCCCAATCAAGAACACCCTTCGCTGGTGTGCCCAACTGCTTGGGCTTTACTTGATTCAGGTTGGCAACCAAGATTAGCCATCACATCTGTTTGCATACATCTAAAATAAATGGAAAATAATTACTAAACTTCAGGAAGACATTTTCTTCATTGTACTAACAGTTACCAAAGGGTTAAAAGGAAAAAGACCTTTTTTTTTTTTTTAACTTATTCTTTACATCTTTCTCACCACCTCCCTCTTGGTTGTCTCCTCTCACAACTCTCCTTCCCCCTTCGTCCCCCTCCCCTTCTCTTCTGATCTGGTGGGGGCCTCCTTGGGTATCCCGACACCCTGGCACATCAAGTCTCTGCAAGGCTAGGCGCATCCTCTCCCACTGAGGCCAGACGAGGCAGCCCAGCTGGAAGAGCATACCCCACGCACAGGCAACAGCTTTTAGGGTAGCCCCTGCTCCAGTTTTTCAGGACCTACATGAGGACCAAGCTGCACATCTGCTACATATGTGCGGGGAGGCCTAGGTTCAGCCCATGTATGTTCTTTGGTTAGTGGTTCAGTCTCTGAGAGCCCCAAGGGTCCAGGTTAGTTGATTCTGTCGATCTTCTTTGAAGTTCCTATTCCCTTAGAGGCAGAAAAAGAGTTTTTAAAAATAGCTTTATTGAGATGCAGTTCACATACTCATTCCATTAATACATTTAAAATGTACAACTCAGTGGTCTTAGTATATTATACTTTGGATTATCTAAAGTCTGATAGAGGGTATGAAGCGTAAAACTTTCCATTTTAAAGAGCTGGGCTATAGCTCTGTGATAAAGTGCTTACTTAGCAAACACAGGCCCTGGGTTCCATCGACAGCCTTGAAGAAAAAAGAAGAACATTGCTATTTTAAGTACTCTTCAGCATTCCACTCCGTGGTGTTAAGAGCGTCCCCAGCGTCCTGCAGCCGTCACCACGGCCACTTCCGAAGTGTATTCTTCACCCAAGTGAGAACTCTGACCATTACACAGTGACTCCCTGGTACCTCTACCCCTCAGTGCTTAGTAACTACTAAACTGCTCTCACAAAAAGGACTTCTAAGAAGTTGGAGTTATTAATTCTTTAAATAATGAATTCTATTTTAAAAGCAGTTTTAGGTTCACATTAAAATTAAGTGGAAATTAAGATTCTGCTAAGGTCTTTGCCCCACATTAACATCTTCAACTTCTACCTTCCTACACCAACACGGTCCTTTCAAATGTCTATTATTGTATGTGTGTGATATATGTATGATGTAGGGATGGGCATGCATGCTTCAGCACATGTGTGAAGATCAGAGGATGACTTGGTGAAGTCAGTTCTGTCCTATTACATAGATTTCAGGCAATCAAATGCTGGTCATCAGGCAGCAGGGCCTTTACCCGCTGAGCAATCTTGTCCATCCAAAGTAGTCCTTCTGTTACAACTGGTGAGCTGACACATAAGCAGAGTCCACAGTTTGCATTCTTTTTGAAGATCTATTTTTGTTATTTTAAGTGTGTGTGTGTGTGTGTGTGTGTGTGTGTGATACATGAATACAGATGCCCACAGAGGTCAGAAGACTCCTGACACTGGAGTTACAGGCTATTGTAAGCTAACATGGGTGCTACGTCCTCTGTAAGAGAATCAAGTGTTCTTGAGCACCCAGCCCTTGGTTGTGTATTCTGTGGGTTTAAATAAACATATGATGTCATGTCCACCACATCGTACGAAGAGGTTTAAGTGTCCTGGGAGTCCTCTGTACTTGCCTGTCCATCCCACATTAATCTATGTAGAGAACAAACTTCCATGCTGTGAAAGCTGAGGCGTTTACGTTTCCACCTTCACTCTTCCATTCCCAGTTTTTGTTAATTATATTATTATTATCTGTGTACATTGTTGGGGTTTTCATATACTTCAGTAACCATAATTGCCATAATTGCAAAATTATTTTGTTTACATTAGAGTTTTCCATGGATGAATTTTCCATGACGTATCTTTTAGTTTGTGGGGTTTTAATACCAGATAATATTTTTAAGGAAGATGTTATCGATATGTAAGCCCCTGAATTCATATTTCAGAGATTCGCTGACATCACACCTAAACAACAGTTTATCTGGGTATAAAATTCTGGTTCCTAAATTCTGTCTCTTAGAACTCTGCAGATATTACTCGTGGGGCTTCTAAAATTGTGTTGCTATGAAGTCTGATTCTCCCCAACACATCCCTCTGGACTCTTCCTTATACTTCTTTTTCTCTTTCTTTTAAGGTCAGTGAGTTTTTCAGAATGTGCTTTGCTATTATTTGTGACATCAGGTTATTTTTCCATAGAATATGAACTAATCTGTAAGGTTAGGCCTTTAATATATTATCTTCTTGTTGTTGTTGTTATTTGTTGTTGTTGTTGTTGTTTTTTGAGACAGGGTTTCTCTGTGTAGCCTTGGCTGTCCTGGAACTCACTCTGTAGACCAGGTTGGCTTCAAACTCAGAAATCCGCCTGCCTCTGCCTCCCAAGTTCTGGGATTAAAGGCGTGTGCCTGGCTGCCTTGTTATTTTTAAGACGTTCTGGAGAAGCTTTGGAAATGACTTAGTGCATAGAGTGCTTGCTATGCAAGCCTGAGGCCCTGAGTTCAGATTCCTCAGAACTCACATAAAAGCCTGGTGCAATGGCCTGCAACTGTACTTCAGTGCTGGAGAAGTGGGCAGATATGAGAAGCTCCTGGGAGCTCACTGTTCAGCCACTATAGCCAAAATAGTGAGCTCCACGTTCACTGAGATAGACTGTCTCAAAACATAAGGTGAAAGGTTATAGAGGAAGACACCTAACGTTGACTTCCGTCCAACTTCACATGTTCACACGTGTGTACAGACATAAACCATGATGCACGTAACAAATTTTAATTGTTTAAAAAGAACATTTTTTTTAGGACGTATTTCAGTACTTAGCTCACTGTTCTATCATCCTGGCTTGCTCCGGGTGCACTCCAGTCATAGATGCGTGAGAACCCCTGTTGCATCTTTGTCTTAGTCTCCTATTTGCTCAGTGAGTTCCTCAAACCCACCCAAGGCATCTCCGGTTGTTTGTTATGCTTTGCCTGTTCATTCGTGGTTTCGGGTACCTTTAAAAAAAAAAAAAAAAAAAAAAAACAGATGAGCCATATTTTTTTTTCACATTCCCCCTGAGGTCAGCTAGCTTACTTTCAACTCTCTTTCGTGTTGAATTATTTCTCATTCAGTCCCACGCGCTCACCTGAGCAGTGTATATACTAAGTTTCTGTCTTTCTTTTCTT